GCGGCTGGGAGACAGGAGGGCCCCGTGCCCAAGAGAAACGAGGCTGCGCCTGTGCCGCACAACTACCGTGGTGTCCTCGAGCTGTGGAAGTTTGTTGCGTTTGCCGAGACAAAAGAAGGGCACGAAAAGGCCTGGGCGCGGCTATGTGACGAGTTCAACGAACAGCAAGGCATACTCATGTACCTTTACAGGACATACCTGCCCATACGAGCGCAGTGGGCACAATGCTTTATCAAGAAGTACCGCAATTTCGGGGTTCGGGTGACTTCTGGCACCGAGGCCAGCAACAACAATGTCAAGAGTTACCTGCTCAATGGGATGAGCAACTTGTACTCGCTGGTCGAGGCCATCGAGGCTATGCTGAGTGATCAGGAGCGAGATTTCGTTGATGCCTGTGCGCAAGACGAGGTGCTGACCTCTGGTATGTATGCTGGGTCCGGTTCAGAGTATCTGGGAGAGCTTCGCACCGTGATGTCAGAGCCGGGACTCAAGCTTGTTACCAAAGAACACCGTCGCGCTTTGAGATCGATACCAAGCAGGTCACGACCTTGGCCAGATCCGATCGGGGATTGCAGCGACAATTGTTCGGTCTCGTGGCAGCTGGGGATTCCTTGCTGCCATACAATCTACAATAAGTTAGAAGCCGATACGCCCTTGACGAAATGGGACGTTCACCCTCGGTGGCACCTTAGGGAGCCAATTTCGCACAATCCATACCGGCGAATCCTCGACCCGAAGATCGCAACATGTCTCCGAGGCCGACCGAAGAATGCAGCACAGACTGTCCCTATGAGCATGGAGATTCGGCCACCGAGCCGTACCGGAGCAACAGTGGGCAGAAGTACGGCAGGCAGGAAGCCCACTCGCAAGTCAGTCGTACTTGGGTCCGGCAAGCAGACAGGCGTGAGGCAATCTGGCTGCAGGAGGCAACCGAGCGTACGGAGACAACGGTCAGAGTGGGAGACTGTCTCGGATGAAGAAAAGGAGGAGGCTCTGCTGAAGCGCAGACGGCAAAGCTCACGTCAGCGGCTAGCCAGTTCAGGGACTCCGGCCCCTTCAGGTTCTGGAGAAGACAATCGCGAGGATTGTATCCATGTGCGGCCATAGCGTGGACATGATAGGGTATTCGCGAGAAATTATTAGTTAACTAGTTAGTTCGCTTAAGGTGGCGTGTTATCCATTTGAGAAGCCAGCTTGAACCGATCCAACTCGGTCTGGCCCTTCGTGTGTCTTTTCGGACCCCGTCCAACAGGAAATTCTGGGTGTGGCTAGAGTGCCAGATGGAATGTACGACTGCCCGATTTGGGAGTTCAGCCACACGGCCCGTGTAACGCGGCCCGTGTAGCAAAGTGGTTCGGCCCGTCTAGCAATTGCCTAAGGGATATGTCTCGCAGCTAAAGGAGGCACCTCTACCGACCGTCTCCATAACACCTCTCCCTGACACAGAACCGGAGCGCGTGGCCCCTCGATCCTATCCCCGTCACCATGGCTTGCCTCAAACGTCTCACCAGAGTAGGCGGCAACCGGCTTGCCCGAACCCAAATCATTCACCGGACGAGAATTCTCTTTACTCAGGGCAACGACCTTCCAAAAGAGTCCGGTTCTTGGAACCTCCCACTCACCGCTCTCATCCTGATAATACGGGGCCCGCTGAAGCTCGCGCCCAGCGCCACGTCGAGAACCAGCACCACAGACCTGGCACTGCTGCTCCCTCGCAGTTGCCGCGGAGCACAGGTCAGGCTGCTCTACACATAGCGGAGGTACAGCATCTGAATAGGGTGTGCGCCAGCCCAGGGACTTTTCACAACAATGCTGGAGTTGAAGATGTTAAAATATGGAACGGCATAAAGTATGAGCGTAGGACTAAGGGGCCGTTCGTGGGAAGATTCGCGTCGCGGGGCGCGATCATTAACATTGACGGGGAGGAGTATGTCGAGTATCGCGTTTTAACGAAGCCATCCTTCTTGTAAGCAAGGATATCGGCGTCGAAACAACTGAAAATTGGTAAGCACACCCGAACCTTTCCTGTCGAGACCGAGACCGCCGCGACCAGGCCAAATCATGCTGATCGGTGACATATGTCGCCATCAATGTGTAGGCGACACCCTCGTGTAGGTTTTGAAGACTGGAAAATAAACCCACTTACGGTAGGGGAACTCCGTGTAAGAGGCTGGACTGGAGTTTGTTCAACAAGCAGGTGCCTTCGTGTTGTCTATCTAAAGCTAAGGAAGGAGAGGGGAAGAAAGGGGAAGCTCGCAGCCCTGGCTGCGAGCTTGGTGCTCCAGGGTCGGCCCAATTGCCGTTGGCAGAGCGACAGGGGTCCGGGACTGCGGGACCGGCAAAGGCGGATCCACATCTCCGGGCATTGGCCCGTGACATTACTCCCCTCCTCCGGGTCCCCCCCGCCGAACAGGCTGCCGTCGCCGGCGTCGTTCGGCAACTTCGTACTTCTCCAAAGGACCATCATTATCTCTAGCAGGCCCATGCATGGACTCGAACGTATTCATCGCTTCTGTACCCTCCAAGGCTTCCAATGGCTCCCACGTTGGGTCCGCATAGCCACACCATTGCACGAGAACCTGCCGGAATACCCCGCGTCCTCGTTTCTTCCAGCGGGCGCACAGAATCTCTTCGACGTCCCATTTCTCCACACCAGTCTCGTCCTGTATCGGCGGTGGCTGCGCGTCATCCACAACTTGGCCTGGAACTGGATCGTCTCGGGCGCGCCGTAGCAGGTCGACATGGAATCGTGGATGTATCGAACCGGGCACATCCAGCTCCACGACGTGGGAGCTGATGACCCTTGTGACTGTGTACTTGTGATGCAGCCAGTCGAGTTTCTTACACGGTCGAGGCGACCGATAGTTGGCCATCGACAGCCACACCTTGTCGCCGACTTCAAGACGCTCGGCGGGTTGCCTCTTCGAGTTTGCGGCTTCTTCCTGCTGCTGCTGTGCGGCGGCCATCATCGCCTGCATATACTCCGTGACTTCACGGAGACGGCTGAGTAGGCTGTCTGCCTTGCCTTCCACCCGGTCCTTAGGCGGCTCTGCCGGTTCGTCGACGCTCAGCGGTTCCACGTGGTAACCGTGTTCCGCGAAGAAGGGGCTGATCCTAGTCGTCGCCGGCTCGCGATTGTTGAGAGCAAGCTGCGCAGCAGGGAGGAAGTCTCCCCAGTCTCCTTGGAGATAGCATACGTACGCTCGCAAGTACGCCTGTATCTCCTGGTTCGTCCTCTCGGGTCCTCCATCAGTCTGCGGGTGGTACGCCGTGCTCAATCGCTGCGTTATCCGTGCCGGCTTGCAAAACCTCTTCCAGAACCTGCTCAGCCAGTTGCTTCCGCGATCGCTGACGATGGACCGCAGCATCCCGTGGAACCTGTAGTGGCATTGGAGGAACCGCTGGGCGCAGACCTCTGCATCCATCGTGTCCATCGCCTCCAGCGTCACGGCTTTGGTTAGTCGGTCCACAATCACCCAGATGTACCGCGACTTGCTTGGTGCCGTTGGAGGGAGATCTGTGATGAAGTCCGTTGCCAAGTGGCTTCGTGGCCGGTCCGGGATCGGCAAGGGTTTGAGAAAACCTCTCTTCGACTGTCGCCAGATGTGGCCTCGGCCGCAGGTATCGCAGTTCGCAACAAAGCGCCGGACTAGCTGGGATTGGCCCGGCCAGTAGAAGCGCCGAGCCACAATGGCCAGTGTGCCCTCCCTACCTGGGTGGCCTGCTGCAGCCGAATCATGGGGGTCTTGGACAATGCGGGTCCGCAAGATATCCTTCGCAGCTTCTTCTGGATTGCCCTTCTCGCCAGTCCCTCCGGGGACCCAGATGCGGTCTCTAAATGTCAGCCGCTTGCCGGTGTCGATCCCGCACTCAGAAATCTGAACCTTCAACCCCAGCGCTGGTGGGAAAGAGCGGTGTCTTTGTTGTACTGCTTCGTACGCCGCTCGATATATGGAGTCTTCCTGTTGGGCGCTCCACCGTCGCCAACGGCGTGACGATTGATCTCCGCAAACTTTCGCCCGTCACCGTCTCGCATAACTTGAAAACGGCCAGCATTGGTGGCGGGGCAACATCTGTTCAAGTTTTGGCCGCGCTGACCCCAAAGCTCTCCAAGCCCCTTTCGGGATACGATACGATACGATAATTATTTAACGTCCGGGAGCTATAGTGATAGCTAAAAGCCCCTATTGGGGCAAAGGACGTGCTAGGCTGCTGATTGTATGTACAAAGTGCGTTTAGATCGATTGCAATGTCGTTCGCTTCGACACGGTGCGTTGGTCCAGGTCAGCAACCAAAACGGCTGCCTCAGGCTCTCCCACACCAGAGGTTTTCAACTCATCCTTCCCTGCATTCTTACTTTCTTGGCATGCAAATGTTAAGAAAGTAGCTTAATATACACCTTATTCCTTAACAAGTACACTGTAACCCGTCCAAACTGCGCTCTGCGCAGCCGGCGGCGGCGGCGGCGATGGCGGCGGCCTCGTCTAGCCTTTCGTTCTTTCCATGGCCACCTCACTGGCCGTGTCTTTGTTGGCCTTCAGCGTCATGAAGTGCTTCTGGTTTGACATCCGTATCCCACGAAACGCCAGAAGACTAACAAGATACAAAAAGTTTGATGGGGATTCTCAAGTTGTCGTACATAATGCCAGCGCAGCTCTCTGTCCTCGCCTTCTCTTGGGCAATCTAGGAATATGCGTGTGTTTTTCCAGTCCAGCGGCCATGAGGTCGCTCAGGCTTTTATTACAGGTCCAGTAGACGTAGAAATGTCGGGGGATATAGTCGGACCTAGTCTGGCTGGATTGTATAAGCGCCGTTTAATGATCGAAGTCTTGCGAAACACTGCTTTGATCCCACGACAGCCGTCGCAAGAACAGCTTTCCTCGTGAGCTCTGCTTGACCTCGCCCTGGTGGTCTTGGTCGAAAGTGAAGTGTTTCGCTTGTGTCGACAGTGATTTGCCGCTGAAATCATACATGCGTGTTCGAAATCAGTGGGGAGTCGAACAGAGTCGCCAGTGGTAGTCATTTTGAAGGTAGATTCGTCGACTCTTTCGTCGTCGTTCAATGAGCTGGTGGCAATAGATGTCCATGAAGGAGTTATTCTGTTGGATGAGTCTGGTCACTGAAAAGCGTTAAGTAAATTGCGAGACTACGTTGCTGGTGTCGTCCATCTGATCTCCAGGGTGTTCCTGAATGGTGTTGCACTCCCCTGCAAGCCACAATGGCCCTAACCCGTGAGCAATTTGGGGCAATGCTTGTTCATTTGCAGATATGCAACACACATTGTATCAGGATCCATTCCTCCGCATGTGCTGGACGTTGTGGCTTGCTTTTCCCATGATCCAACTGGTCTTTACTGTAGGTTCGCGCATGGGGCCTCGGCTCCAAACTCCTCGCGACGCCACGCGAGCATTTCTTGCGTCCCCACTTTTCATCTGACGAGGACTATGATTTAACCATATTGAGGTAATACTGCCCCAACAGGTGCGCAGCAGCTTCTTTCATTGCCGCAGTTCGACTGAGCCTTGCGCAGCCATCGTCGACTCCTCGCAGTTATCTCGGCGCCATGCCGTCCTGGCACTTGGGCGAGCCCCGCATCGCCCGCCCGTTCCAGCGTCGGACAGTGACCGTGACAAACCCTTTTGGAGCGCACTGCGGAATGAATGGCCCGTACCAGCGCCCCTCTGCATGAGACTAATCCATTGGGTCTGTTTATGTCACTATAGGAACAGTACTGTATGTATAATCTCTGATGTGAAAACGAAACATTGCCAGCATAGCCGGCTCCCAAGATCTCACTCGTTCCCCTCGTTCCGCTCGGTTGACACAGCATCCCCTGCCCAATATTGGGTGGCTTTACGGTGGTACAGTCTCGATTAGAGGCCCAATGACGTGACAGGTTTGTTAAACATGCATCCTAATCGCATGTGTAAGCTACCTACAAAGACATGCCGCGGGGATCCCCGGTCTGAGCCTAAATATCGGATCGCAGTTGCAGCTCAGTGGTAGATACTCATATCCCACCAAATTTGCCTCGCGACGTGGAAGTGCGCTGGTATCGCGCACCTAGGCCCTCAAGTGACATGTTCGCAACCGGGCCATTGTGACCGTCCGTCCGCTTGCTGGTGCATGTGGCTGACCGCGGCTGCGTAACACTTTCGTCCCAATTATTTAAGTTAATGATAAGCAATACCAGGACGACGCCAACAACATCATGCACGCCATCCTCGCAAAGAATGGTGCCAACCGCGCCATCAGTTTCGTTCTCGAGTACGCCGTCGGCAAGCTCCACGTGACGGTTCAAAACTTCGTGTGTGCACAGCCCCATCTCCCCCGTCCTACCGCGCCCCGTTGCGTCCTACTGACTGAAGCGCCCGACAGATCCAGATGTATCAGCCGGCCATGCTCATCGTTGGCGACGAGGGCCGCTCGCTCGGCGGTATGCATGGGATGGTCAACGCCCGCACCTCGATTTCCACGTACTGCCTGGAATACTCGCCCGTGCCCGTTATCGTCGTACGCCTGAGCGAACAGCGCATCAAGAAGACGGTGGAGCAGGCAAATGACTCGTCTGCATAAGTCCCTGCCCATAAACTCGATGAGGGGCTGGATCTGATATCTGCTTGCCAGTTGGTCAGCTTCCGCCAAGTGATAGCTTGAGAATCTTTGTGGGCATGGTCAGGCAAGCACAGTCATGCAAGTCGTACTAGTGCATACGTCACGGAGTCCCTGGAGTCGTGGTTTATACCGCATCGATTGCACAGGAGCCAGGCGCAGTGACTCAAGCTGCTCCAAACTTGCATGTGACTCCGCCGCCGCTCCTGGTACCACAATATAGGAACAGCCCGTCAAAGTTGGCGTCAGAGAACATGTTTAGTCTCTGACCCTTTACCTTAGTGTCTATGGTGAGCAAACTATGCCCAATTCAGTGCATCACCATGTCGCCCGCCCTCACCGCCATCACCGCTTCCAAACGCGTATCCAACAGCAGGGATTCAACCCCCCCTCGTGGGTCATGCTAACGAACGTACGTCGTCACCATGGCCAGGTGTAGCTGTGGCTGCCTTGCGTACTGCGCATCCGCAGAGACTCAGCCACCTCCAGCGGTCAGTGCACAGGTAAACCGTCGCTACAGTAAGCCTTTGTCGGGCTAACGGTCGTATATTTTTTTGGGAACCGGCATAGTGGCCGGTTGTCATCTACAGACACGACCAGAGCCACGAGGTCCAAGTCAGGATGGCGAAAATTTGCCCAAAGCTTCTTCCAAGCACAAGACTGACTAACCTTGGATATTTCTCCGCTGAAATGGTGCGGCCGAGGCTACTACAGACGAAAAGCTATACGCAGAATTAGGTGCTGATCGCAACACCATGCACTCCGCGGACAGGGAAGACATTGATGAGGCTGTTCGTATTGCCGCAGACGCTGTCAACTCGACACCTGGTGACCATCCAGCGCGGGCAGTGCATTTAAATAATCTCGGAAATAGACTCGGCAAGAGGTTCTCACACACCGGAGTCCAGGCGGATATCGACCACGCCATCCGCGTTACTTCAGAAGCCGTCAGCCTCGCCCGAGACGTCCCTTCTGAGCGGGCTAGGTACTTGCATAATCTCGGTATCAATCTCGGACAAAGATTTTCATGCCGTGGGCGCCTTGCGGACCTTGATGCCGCTATTTGCGTTGCGGTAGAATCTGTTCACCTAACCCCGAGCGGCCATTGTCAACTTCCCGGACGTTTGGACAGCGCTGGAAACAGAGCCAGCCAGAGATTCCATAGTACCGGTGCGCCAGCGGACCTCGATGCCGCCATTTCCTTCGCCATCGAGGCTGCGTCCCTCACGCCACGCGCCGATATACAACTTGCATCGCGGTTGGACACTATTGGCATCAGGCTAAGTCAAAGATTTTCGCACATTGGCGTCGCGGCCGATCTTGACGAGGCTATTCTCTTCGCTGCAGAAGCTATCAGACTGACTCCGAGCGACCATCCGGCGCGGCCTGGACGGCTAGAGCGCCTTGTGATCAGGCTTGCCAAGCGGTACATTGGGTGCTAGCTTTGTGGCGGACAGCAATGACGCCGCTCAGGTCGCCATAGAAGCCATCAGAGCATTATTTGGCGATGATACAATCATGCCTGATGTCTAAGATGACTTCTGGTTGTTCCGGCAGATAAATACTGGAAGGTGCTGGTGGAGTGGGTACAGTTCTGTACTTGTAGTCGCTCGTAGCAGGATACATACTCCACAGACACAGGAAGCTGATAATGAAATCGGTAGCCAGGCAGGGACCATTCTGCTGTCTTACTCTCATTTGGCCGTTGAGGATATCACCATCATTGCGAGGCAACTTAATATGTGAACAGCTTCAGACAAACTGTAACGGTCTCAACTGAGTGTGTTGACAACTAGCTGAGCGACTGCAACGAGTATCCTAAAGCTAGAGAAGAAAGGAAGAAAAGAAAGAAGAAAGTTCGAGAATAGAACACGAGCTTTTAAAGGGAGTTCCGGAGCCGATGTGGATCCCGGTCGAGAGCGGAGCCGAGACCCACGCGGGCCCAGCCCGTTACATGTTGCCTTTGTAAAGATAAGAGAAGTATTTATTTCTATGTCGTAGTTATAAGTTAACGCTTGCTAGGAGATGAAAAAGGAATTCCCAGATATATTTGTCCCTTCGCATATCCAACAACTATGGGCGTCGAGGCCGTTGTGTCGAAGTTGCGGCGGGATGGAATCGTCAGTCATGCCGCCAGTGACCCGTTTAGACGGCACTCTCCCTCTCGCCGCTGGTACCAACAATGACGATTGCAGCAACTTCGACCCCGAGGCCTTGCGCCTCGACCAAGCCGCCGAAGTTGATCAGTTTCGAAAGGCTACTCGCGCCTGTGCTAGCGACGAGGAGAAATACGATTTATGTCGAGATCAGCGCGATCGGTTACTTCTGGCCCGCAATGAGGTGCACTTCGAGATCGCCGCCTACGAGAGCGTCATGTTCGTTGAGTGCGTCGAGTACTTGGCGTACAAAGAGAATACAGGCCACCCGAGGGGTGATGAGCCCGAGTGGCAAGAGTTCATAGTCGCTGCGGACGATGGGTGCAGGCGTCTCGCGGCTTTGAAGACGGTAGCGCGTTGCTGGGGTTGGGAAAAGGTCCGGCATTATGGGTGGCCTGCTAGGGGTGATCGCTATAACGACGGTCTGTGTTGTTAGCGGTCGAGAACTGGGCCGAGTTCACCATCAAGGCAAACCAGCTATTGCTCAGGTACTTCCACGTTTCCGCCACCTCCAGACGCTTCAAACTTCCCGACACGGTGGACCCTCTTCAGCATACTGTGTTGGAAAACGCAAAGAAGTGGTCACACGGTGACTCGTTCGTCATGGACAACAAATGCTGTTCCTGCCTCGCAGAGAATTGGAGACCAAGAATACGTGTGTGCGAGAAGAACGAATAACAGGTGGTTCGTACCGATATGTTGATGCCCACATGGAAGTGTAATTGATAAATGGCAACGGTAGGACTACTCCGACAGTGAGGATAGCAGGTGTGTAACGTAATACGATTAACTTAGGGAAACAGAACGGTGCTATTCCATATGGACACACGTTGATTGCCCCCATTCCGAGGGCAGCCCATTTATGACCGCCGCAGAAATACTCGCCTGCGTAGAAGCAGCACTAGGACAACACCGACGCTGACGAAGAGGACAAGGCTAGAGCGGTAGCCCAGTGTTACGAGGAGTCGCGCCTCAGGCGAGTGCCGCGGCGAGCTTCCGAAGTGGTCGAAGATGGGCGTCGTGGCTCGCCCACGGAGGCTGTGCATAGGGCCAGGCAGTATCTTAAGGGAGCTGCGGTTCATCTGCGCGGCGTGCATGAAACTCGCAAAGTGGCAGCCTGCGCCGAGCATTATAGTCGGGTCCGGCATCCCGAGCCACGGCCGGTTGTAGGCCATGAGGTTGCGCAAGATGTCATGGATAAAGGGGTTGCGCCGGGCCGCCATCATGAAGGCGATGCTAAAGCCCGTCGGTTGCGCCTCAGGGGCGACAAAGTCGAAGCGCCGCAAAGGGCCAAGAGCACGCTTGCATTTCAGGTCCATGTCGATAGCGACGCCCCCGAACTCAAAGAGCACCATATAGCGCAATGCGTCAGCACGGTCGATATGGTACGGGTAGTTGTTCCATATGCCAAACAGCTCGGGAAACCGCTCGCGCACGAAGTCGGGCGCATTCTCGTCTGTCCACAGGTGCACCTCCCAGCCTGGGTGTATGTCGAGGCAGCTCTGCCGCGTTTCCTGCCAACGGTTCTTCCAGCGGTGCTTGCCCAGTGCGATGTGATGAAACACCGGCGGCACGATGTCTGGGTGCGGCGCTGCCGACAGTTGGCGTTTGTCGTAGTCGATAAATGTGATGTCAAAATCATCGTGTGCCTTGGACAACACGAATTCCTCAGCGCCGGCGCGCCAACTTAGGCGCAAAGCTGCCAACGCCCACGCTGTGTATAGCAAGTCACGGAACACCCACCACAGCCCGAGAAGAGTGAGCAACGTGGTCCACCAGTGGAAGTGGAGGTGGGTTCTCCTGGCTGAGCTGGCATAAGATGTGTATAAGAGACAGAAGTGGAGGTGGGTTCTCCTGGCTGAGCTGGCATATTGTGATCGAAATGGATGCTTGGTCATGGCGGGTGGTTGTATGCGTTGAGACAGCCGCACGAGGTTCTCGACGAGGAAGCAAAGCAACATGGGCGACGCGGGAACGAAAAAGGTAGCAAGCAGAGAGGGTCGTGTGTATTGGCACGGAAAGGTCGTCCGTACGTTTATCGGGTGGTGCCAAGTGGGGAGGCTCCGAGTCTCGCAGAGTGGGTCATAGCTCCCAGCACATCGCACCCGTCGCGTGGACGAGGGCGGTCAGGCACACTACAACGACCTTGTTACCTCTCTGTCGCTGGATAGTCCTGTAGTATGTTAGTACGTCCATTCAACGTACCATGCTTTAGATGCTTTTACCATGCTCGACATTGGGTGACACTATGCGCCGAGCAATTTTGTCTCTGCGTGCTTCCAATCCTTCGTGAATGAACGACGGACGCTGTACGTCCTGATGGCACTGCGGCCGACTTCAACAGATCTAGCAAGTCGGCTGGGTCGTTCCTGGCTCAAACTGGTAGGACAGCCTTCGGCCAGGGTCCGTCCGTCCGTCAAGGGGTTCATTTTACTTTTAGAGTTCCGCCACTTTTGGCAGCTAAGCAATCACCCTGCAATGAGCAGTCACAGCCACCGCCCAGACCCGCACTCTTTTGCTTTAGCCCTCTCATCCAAGCCGGGAGATCCTGCCGCCCCGTTACTCGACCTGGCCGGGGGGTTCTGGAAGCGAAGCCTAAAGACGGGCATAAAAAGAACATACATATTGCCCTGGAAAACTGCACGGCGTAGACTCCACTGAAATCAACCACATAGTTAACGTGTGGAATGGCGGACTACCTTTGGCCGACGTTGCACGCCAGCTGGGGTTCCCAAAGCGACCTGCTCCCCCTGCATCGTCACACATATCTTGCTGCAAGGCGGGGTTCTCACCTTATCCCCCTGCATATGGATACAGACAGCCGTCTTCAGCCTGGCTTTGTTAGGTATGTAAGTCTCGAGCAATCTGCGGCGTTCTTTGGCGAGCACGGCTCTTTGTGCACCTTAGTGGCATTACCCTGATAGTAGGGCGTGGCTCGCTACTACACAGCAATGCTTCAGGATACTTGGGTCCACAATTGCTCTATGTATTGGCGACGGTGCTAACGCAGATGATAGATCGTCGCGGGAAACCTGGCTCACATCCGGATGTGCCCTTTCGCCTCCGGCCTCCAGCCGGGCCTCCACCTGCTCACCGTCCACATCCAGATCTCAACGTGGGCCTGAACTGTTCCAGGAGCCTTCCCTAACGCTGCCCAGCTCCTCAGCATCACATTTTGGTTGGCAGAGAGCCGAGGCCGGCGGAAGGCCAGGCATCATCGACGTACCGCCAGAGAAGATTTGTGACCTCGAGCATGGCCGTACATTGTCAATAGTTCCAGTTCTCCCTCCTCTGCCTCCCCCCATTGGGATAACGATGCGCCAAGAGTGCCTTTTCCAGACAGCGACGGCTCCATTACCAGCATCGTCATCAGTCGCACCTAGCTTCATCACAGCATCACTAAGGGCGGCATCTCACAACGGTGATCATAGTTGCAACTCTACGACGGTTGTAGCGCCACAACAGCGCGATCACACGAGCAATCTACTTCCCCGCCCACCGTTGGACTTTGGGGAGGATGATGAGTGGTGCAGTCTCCTCGGCCATGCGAATTTTACTATCTTTCCTCTGCCATACAAGTTGGATACAGTTACACCCGCAACCGTTGGCAAATACCGGGATGACTGGAATATTGCGCGGACCAATTACGCAAGGCACCTGGTTCGAACAGCAGAAAATTACGGCCCCACCAGCAGGATCTATGCTCTCACGGAAGCGAAGTGGGAACAAGTGGAACGTCATTGGCGACAAATCCATGACAGCGCCATGGAAGAGGGCATGGATCATACGGCGCATAGCAATTGTCGTGTTGAATGCAGCGGCAGACCAAGCAATCTCAAGTTGCGAGACCATCCAGCATCGCGACCAGAGGATGACCATGGGCGTATTGCTGTACCACAGATGCTTGACGCGCGGGGCAAATTCCCCGGCCGAGGCGACGAGGATATTGTAGGTCTCATGCAACAGAAGCCGCCGATGGGGCAAACACGACGAGGAAGCGCGAGACGGCGATTTTGGACGACCCTCGTAACGAAGCTCGGTAAATGAAAACCGATAAAAGCTGCTAGGGGCGGACTGGGTGATGGTCACCATCGACTGACGACCATCTCGCCTCGCTCCTACCCGCATCCGCAGGTCTCCACTTGGTGTTTCTTCGATAAGTTTATCTGAATCGGCAGATGTCTCGTCCTGTTAGGCGCACGCATCACCGCCGCCATGGTGTCTTGTACCCCGCTTACAAGGTTGAGCCCAGTAACACCGGCCGATGCGATTCCAACTAGCCGTAGTAACGCTAACTCAAAGGCCCCGAGTCGCTTTGCATCGCAAGACAGAAGGAATGTGTGCTGAAAACTTGTCAGACAATTGGCTCCACAGGAATCACGGTTGGCATCGCGTTAATTGATGAGAATTATCTTCAGAGGCCTTAACTCCCATATTGCAAGCCTTCGTGCAGTTCTTATACACAAATGAGAGGTTTTGCTTGTTTAGGCAGTCGTAGCTGCCTCGCAGGCAGCTACAGCCACTGAAGGCAGGTGAGACATGAGGCTCGTCTGAATCGGCAGTCCCCTCTGTGCGACACACCCCCCAGCGTTGAATGATGAAGTCAACGCTGCTTGGAGCGTCACAACGGGAGACTGCATGATTACCATGCCATCATGGCTCACTTTTCCCCCACGTCCACCTGCTTTTTGATGTCGACTAGGTTCAGCAACGACCGGAAGTGCTCAAACTTCGATCTGGAGAGTGCCTTTGTCAAGCCGTCGGCTGGCATTCGGTTAGTCTCCAGATATTCCACTAGAAACCTGCCCTTTCTAAACTCCTGCTTTAACCACATGTTCTGGATGTCGACGTGCCGCAACTTTGTTGTGATTCTCTGGTTCTCCTCCACCACAAGACGGATGGACTGCAGATTATCACAGAATATCTTCAGCGGGCCAAGGTCGAGAGAAATGTCTCGGAGGAGTCGGTCCAATGCGTAGCTCTCCTTGGCGGCTCTTTCAAGACTCAGAATTTCTGCTTCAGTAGTTGAGGTAGTGACAGTGTCCTGAAGGCCAGCCTTCCATGCGACTGGTCCGTTGAACAGCATCATCACGTATCCCTGCGATGATCGGCGAGTCTCGACGTCGTCGGCGAACGATGCATCGCTTGCGATAACAAGCGCCTCTCCATCATGCATTCCATTATAAACAATGGCCAAATACCTTGTCGTATAAAGGTATCGAATGCACTGGTTGGCCGCTGCCAGGTGTTCGGGTGACGGGTTTGTCAGGAACCTCGCTAGCTGGGCTGCCGCTCGCGATATGTCTGGTCTGGTCATGACGGCGACGTACATCAAAGACCCAACACGTGCCTGATAAGCCTTGATTTCATCCTTGGAGGCCTGTCCAGCGTGTTTTGTGAGAGGAACAGTTGTAATTGGGATCGATGGAACCCGGACCTTTGAGTCGCTGAGTCTGAACTTTCGAGCGACTTTGTCGATGTACGCGTCTTGGCAGAGGTAGATCCTCCTGTTCGGTCGGTCCCTAACGACCCTAATTCCCAGATACCATCGGAAGTCTTCTTCACGTAGGTCGTACTTGGACTGAAGGTGTCTGACGAGGACGTCTATCGCCTCTTTTTCTTGGCGTGGGCCCACCACCAGGATATCGTCAACATATTCGAGAACAAGGATCTTGCCATTGGTGAAGACGCAGGGCTCCTCATCAGTACGGTCGATTCCTGCTTCTTTGAGCGCTTGCGAAACCTCATTATACCATAGAAGTGGAGATTCTCGGAGACCATAAAGCGCCTTCTCGAGTTCCGCGACCATGGTTGGCGTTTCCCCGGGTTTCAGGAACCCCAAGTCCACGTAACCCTTGGGCAATTGGACGTAAACGGGGCGGTCCTTGTTGAGATCGCTGTATAGAAATGCGTTTCCGACGTCGAATTGTCGAATGTCAAGGTCGAACCGTGCAGCTGTTGCCATTACGACGCGGAAGGTCTTTGCTGCGAGCGTGGCAGCATACGTCTCGAGACTGTCATCGACTTCTTGAAGATCTCCACGCACGCAGATACGAGCCTTGCATCTTTGAAGGTAGCCGTCCTGATCGAACTTATAGGTGTAAACCCATTTTAGTGGCAGTGGCGGTGCACGGGCTTTCTCTCGCTCGATCAGTCTCCAGGTGCCTCGTTGAAGGAGGTTTCTCAATTCGCTCCTCATGGCGGGCCCACCGCAGAGCGCACACTTATACGTGGTTCTGTTGCAGGTCTTGTGATGGTGTCCCTCGGTCGCACACTTGGCGCAGACTTGGGGGTTGCTGCAATTCCTGGCTATGTGACCGATCTGCTGGCAGTTAAAGCACTGCACGGGACGATAGCGGCGTTCCCATGCTTTAACTGTGCCGGATTCTCCCTCCACATGAAAGTACTGCTCGCCTAGAAGTCGTTTCACATCTGAGTCCTTGGAGAGGTACACGACCATGGAGCCGTATGCCTTCGGCGGATCGCTATTGCTAAGCCACCCGATCTTCTCGATCTGGACGTCGTTTTCTTTGCCTAAGGCCTCGGCAGCACCCGTGAGAACGGCGCCCATGTCGTCGAGGATTGCAGCCCGGTTGACATGATCCACGCGGACGGGGTGCACCTCGCCCCGCAACATCCGCGCGCCTCGCGGCAGCTTCGCGCCGACGACACGTTTCACCAACTGGTGCTCGGCTTCGTCCCTGCAGACAATCCTAAAGCGCATTCGGTTGTGTGCATCCGTGGTCACCGCACGGCAACGCCAATTGGCATGATCGCGTTCAGTCCGGAGCTCGCGCTCGACGAGGGCGCGAACCGCCCCCGCAGTAATGCGATTCTCTTGTCCATCTTCGACCAAGGACTTGTCAATCGTGCAGTAGAACGTTTTCGTCACGGTCGTTGGCGCCGTGTTGGCGGATGAGAGAACTTAGGCGTACGTGGGCTGTGGTGATGGCGACGAACTTGTGACGTCAGTGAAAGAACTCTGCGGGGTAGAGCCTGTGGCCGCCGTGATAGCTTCAAGTTGCTCATGAACGCGCTTCAGCTCGTCGCCTGTCTGTTTCTGGTTGTCTTTTAGTTGTTGGCTCAAATCACGGATCAAATTGTGCTGCTCTTCGGCTGCATCCTTCAACTCTCGGATCGCTCCTTGCTGAGTGCGGATAATCTCGTTCTGGTCCTTAATTGCTTCCCTTAGCTCTTGGACCAGGGTGCGGTACGCGCCAAGCGACTCCAAGGCCGACTGCAGCGTCGTCGTTTCCTCGCTATTGCTGCTGTTTCTCGGATCGGCCATGGACGCGTGATTGACTTCCGCGGCCGCTGCCCGCGTTGTCGCTCTCGTGCCGTACCGACTGGTTTTATTCGGCTCTTTCGCGTTGTCATCCAGCTTCCGTTTCATGGCTCGACGCCCCGCTGGTGTCACCGATCCGCGCGCGACCCCACCAAGGTCCCCGCACGAGCCGGCGAGCTCATCATGGGAGCAGGCCAACTACACAACAATTCCAGTTGAGAAATAATAAAGATTCAATGAGATTTGATGAGACCGTCGAAGAGATCATGAGCGCTACAGCCTGCTGCTCGTACTGTACAGCGGGGCACTTGCAATTGTAGTCAGCTCTGGCTGTCCGTACGTCGGCAGCCGGACGTCTGTAGCCAACCACGGGCGAGCGCTGGGGCAATGCTTGAGGGGGTCTGTCTGTGCAATCACTGGCATTGCTCAACAAGGCAGGGAGTGTCAATAAGTCGACAAGTGACACCACCGGAAACTTGGCCATTTCCCCCCACGCGCCTCCAAGGCCAGTAGGAAGGGAGTTTCTGGCAAAACCCAAAATGGATGCGCGGCAAGGTCGAAGATGGGCGCGGTGTGACGGGTTGTACAGTACCGGCCGCACGAGGCAGTGCGTACGCCGGGCACAGCCTCTGTGGTGTCTTGTTGCCGTGGCCGGTTCTGGTTGCCACCAACGGTCCCACATCGACGACTGCTGCTTGGTAACGGCGGCAATTGGACTTGTGGCCACGGCCTGAAAGATCCTGCCACTGCTGCGGTGATGGGCCTCTGTGCACGTAAGTGCGCACACGGCTCTGTCGACGACCCCCGCTGCGCCTAGTTCTGACTTGCATCTGCATGCGTGATATGCTGGTCGGGAAGTGGACAACGCACGCCAACCAGCTCCCCAGGGCTGTCCGACGCCTCGGCCATATGTGTCAGGGCCACGCCCAGTGATGTCCAGAATTGGACGTAAGCCGCTTGTTGATTGGGGGCTCCGCTGACCTGAACTGGACGCAAGCCCCACACCACTGACCTCTGCATCTGCAGGCCAGGAACTGGACGGAAGCGCCCCCACTGACTTCGGGCGTCTGCAACCAGACGATGCAGCGGGGACGCCACGCAAAGACGTCAAGAAACCTGACACTTGGCTGCGGCTAAATGCCGGCGCGATGATGCAGAAGAAACCACATCAACGATCTGCACATCAATAATCAACAATTAGACAGTGAGGCTGCGCATCGGGGGCCTGTAAGATTATGGACAAGCGGACGAACTGGCCCCCTGCGGCATCTACGACAGGATGATGGCCGACTGCGTTTGACGCGAGGAACAGAAATGCACTTCTGGTCGTCGCCTGCGGGCGACTGAGCGCTGAGGCTTAGGTTACATTCTGGCCTGCATCGGCCCCACATCACTGGGCGTCAAGAATCGGGCGTTGCGATAGCACGGCTCGGCCCAAAGTGGGCGAGCTGGTCATGCGGCCTCAATCACAAAGCGGTTGCGCCTCTGACTGAATCTTTGCGCAAGGAACTGGACGAAATGGCATGGCGAGCGGCACTTTGGGCGTCGTCGTCAAACGGACAATAGGGTGCCGGGAGCCCCACGCGCCGGTCGCAGCAGCAAGTGCCACTGTCCACAAGACTTTACTCGGTGAGAGTGCGCAGGCTTCGGCAACGGAGTGTTGCTGCATTAGTCAGAGACACCATGGGAGTGCTTGCTGGGGGCGGCCGCTTGTTGCCGCTGCGACCACTTCCAAAACGAGGAGGAGGTTGGTTGAATGGATAGTTTGAGTCACCAAACAGGATCATCGACGAGGGACTGATTTGGCAAGGCGAAGTCTTCCAGTGCGAGCGATACGACCGGCAGTGCCGTCTGAGACAGTGCTTCAGATGTCACAAATATGGCCACATAGGAACCCAATGCAGAGCAACAACAGCATGCGGCTACTGCGCGCAAGATCACCCGACCCGAGAGTGTCCCGCGAAGAACGACGACATGGCGCCCCGGAAATGCGCCGCCTGCCGCGGAGAACACGAAGCCTGGAATAGCCAGTGTCCGACACGGAAACAGGAACTGGCCAAGATCAAAGACGCCTACAAGGCACGACCGAAATACCACCCGGAGAACCCAATGCCTCTCGTACCAGCGGCAGGCGACAGCCTGAATCGAACCAAGGAACCGACAAGGCCAGGCCGACCGACTCTGGAACCGCGCCAGTCCCAAGGGACACGACCAAGCCGCAGCAGGTCACCCACCAAGAAGATCCAAAAACGCCAAACCCCAACAAGCAGCCAATCCCACAACGAGAATGCAAACCTCAACATTAATAATGCCACGGATCCGGCGGATGCTGAGAAGGCACGACCGAAGCGGGCAGTGACGAGGACAAGGCGCGCGCTAGGATCCCTAGACGCGAACATGCACTGGACACAAGACAACCTGCAAATGAACATTGACAACCAAGAATGACCACGAAGAATACGCTCACAATACTACAGTACAACGTCAGGAAATCCAAGGACACCGTAATGGCGACTCTGCTCCGAGACCCCCGAATCCGGGAATACGACATCCTCGCCATCCAGGAACCATGGAAAAACGCCTTTAGTGAAACGACACACCACCCGACCAAAGACCTCTTCCACTTGTGCTACCCTGCCACGGAAGAGGGAGAGCCGACCAGGGTGTGCTTCTTTATCAATAAGCAACTCGACCACTCTAAGTGGCACTTCAAGAACGCTGGCAAAGACCTCTGCACTCTCATCCTGGAGACAAATGCAGAAGGCAACAGCAAGATCGCCATACACAATGTGTACAACCCCCACAGGCAGCAAGAGAACCGACGAAGTATACTGCCCCAACTGAGGCGAGAGATGCAGGGGCTGCGACAGGGAGAACAAATCGTTGTAGGAGACTTCAATCTACACCAGGAACACTGGGGAGGGAGTAGAGTACGACGCGCGGATGACGAAGCAGATGAGTTGCTCGAGATCATGGACGACTTCAGTCTCATCAGCCACCTCCCCAATTACATTCGAAAAAGCCGACCGCCAATCCACTATTGACCTGAGTCTATCAACTATAGGCTTGGTCGATAGACTGATCAAGTGCGGAATAGACGAAGACATCAATCATGACTCGGACCATCTACCAATCGTCACGTCGCTAGACATTACTACTACCCAGCTTCAGCCCAAATCGAGGCTCAAGTGGAAAGCAATCGACAAGGCAGCCTTCAGCAAGACATTGAGGCAACAACTGCCCTCCATACGAAGGCCGCGAACAAAGGCGGCGTTAGACTCCTACGTAGCGGAAATCACCACAGCGTTGATGGCAGCCATCGAGGCAGGAGTGCCACAGTCCATCCTGACTGTCACAGCACCATCGCGACTTTGTCTAAGACACTCACGTGAGCACAGACCATTAGCGCACCATAAAGCGGTAGTCTAGATAGCTTCCTCTTCCATCCTCCTTAAGGCACAACTACGTTATTGCCCGCACCCTAGATTCGCCCCGTGATAGTTTGTGCCTTCCTTTTTGGTTGCGCCGCTGTCTATCTTGTACGCGGCCCAGCCACCACGCCTGAAAGGGGCGACCTTAGAACCACGAAGTCTCGCGACTGACGCGTCGCGATTGAGACCATCCACGAAAACACCCACAGCGCGATTGACACGTCGCGATTGA